GAGAGGGAGAGGGAGAGAGACGGGGACATTAAAGATTTATTTTCTTAGCAATTTTCAAGAATATAATACAGCATTGTTAAGGGACAGGATTTTGGGTGATTTTAATGCCATTCGTGAGTAGGTCATTCAGTGATTTTGCCAATGACCTTGCACACTAACTTTGAATTCTTCAAAGGGTGTGTATGATGCAGGAGTCCTAGAGTCACAGAAGTGACCTCAAAACGCACCTGATTCAGTTCTCAAAGCATTTACATAAGACAACTGAGATCCAGAGAAATATAAGTGATTTCCTGACTTGCTGGGAGACAATAAACTCTCTGAAGGCAGGACCCATGGTGTACTTACTCTATATCCTGCCAATGAACTCCCTTTCCCATAGCACCGAAGGCAAAGTTACACGCAAACACTCCACACCCATGAAAAGTTTGTGTAAGGCTCCATTCAGAAATACTATACTGGGAAATTAGGTTAGGTTAGACACAATATTTAAACTTGAGGGTTAAATACTCTGTGGATTTAGCAATCTAGCATTTGATTACTGTTTTCCTTTGGAGTTTGTGTGATAATAAAACGATGCCTATGACCTTAGTTCAGCACCTAATTCAGGCTGCTTATGTTGTCAATGGTTGAGGCACCCCAACCACCAGCATTCAACAAGGGTCTTGACAAAAGGCCTGGCTAGAGAAAGCAGAGCAAGGACGTTCCATCTCAGGATGGGCATGTGGTCGTGTCACCCAGCTGCTCCCACCCCTTTGCATCTGGCCTGTTGGGCTGTTCATCCAGGTGCCGAGGTTATCACAGCTGCAAGAAATGCTCCAGCAACCAAGTTCACGAGGAAGGAGGAAGGAAATGTCAGGAAGATTGAAAGCCTCCAGATACTGACTTGTTTCTGCTTGTGGCTACTGTTTTTTGGTTTGTTTTGGTGTTTTTTTTTTTAACTTTCTTATACTGCAACCAACTTTATTTACTATCCTAGAAGAGTATGGTGAAAGTGTTATGTTGACTAATAAGATTTGTGCTACCAGAAATGGAGGCTGAAGTAGGGTGGATGCTCTGTTTTTTTATTTTATTACCCTTTTCATAAAAAAATACGTCCTCAATTGAACAATTCCAATAAGAACTCTTCTTTGAGAAGAGGAATTCAGTAATTTCCTTGGTGATATTTGGAAGCTTTTGTGCTTTTTATTGATCCATGAGATCAGAGCAAGATGTGGGACAATTTCATTCAGTCTTTTGTAGTGTCATCCTGAGTCTTGCCATTTGAAATATTATTTTAGGAGACCATAATTATAGTGCACATACAGTCAAACCCAGGAAAAATGCAATAAATGGAATCCAAGAATTCAACTGTGACATGTGAGTCACTTTTTTTTGGAGGGGGGTGACTTGTTGACATGATGGTGACTTGTTGACAGCTTGCCATCTGAGAGTTTTGAGGGTTTTTATTGTCCAAAACCCTCCTGGACTGGCCGTGTTTTGGCACCAGCTGGTAGGGGTTGTCCACCCAATTGAAATATTTATAGTGATTCTTCTGGCTCCTGCAGCTGGCTGGGACTTCCAGGACGGTGGCAGCAATTCCAAGAATCTACCACTTAGTTGGCAACTGTTTTGTTGGCCTGACTTGGGGAGATCAGACAAGAAGAAGACTGGGTATAAAGGAGGTAATACATAGGGTGACCACTTCGCAGCCTGCCTCACCTTCCCTTCCACTCCCCAAGCAGATGATGAGAACTTTAGCTGCCCTCTTGGAAGACAGGAAGCTGTGTGGAGGACAGGAGTCAATCTCCAGAGGCATTATATCTTTATTATATATACCTTTATAATAGAAATTTCCAAGAGAGCAATGAAATGAATTTACAATAGATCTATATGGCAGACTAGAATGTGACCAACAAAAATGTTATTTTCACAGAAAATGTAATGATGTAAAATAATCATGATGTTAATATAAATGAAAAAAACAGGATACAAAATTGTATTCAGGTATGGTTTAATACTATAAAATGTGTATGTATATGTATTTGTGTAAAAGACTAAAAGAAAATACAGCATATTGTTAACAGTGATATATCAGGGATGCAATTTGGCTTATGGATAATTTAAAATATGTATTTCGGCATTTTAGTTACTTTTATAATAATTGTTTTAAGTGCGACCATCTTCCCTGGTTAAATAAGTAACACAGTAATGGCACTTAACATACTAGCCCAGTTTCCATAAAGGAACAGCTTTTTAAGTTACTCCTTACTGTTTATTATAGTTATTGTTGAACAAAGTCTGTAGTGGAACAAACCATTTTCCTACATAGGGGGAGGGTCACCTCCCCCGAGTTCACAGTGTGTTTAAGTGAAAGGAAAGCCACAAATATTAAGAAAATAGAAGTGGTGTTGTTTTGTCTATTAGGCATCATAGTCCCAATGCTTATGGCCTATGACTTTTCTTCCATTTTTTTTAGAAAAAGTTTGAGATCAAAAGAGAAAACTGACTGTAAAGCTGCAAAAC